GCTGCTATAAACAGACAGAGCTTGTGACGTGAAAGAGACACGGCACCGGGTCCCTAAACTCAACACGGCCCCCACTTCTTTTCCCGCTTGGGAAAAGCCCACAGTGACAGAGCCGCAGTTCTGGGGGACACGTGCTCAGAGAGCACAGGACACGGTGGCAGAGGCTGAAGGACAAGGACTCCGCTTTGCTGTCCCCTCTAAGAGGCTACCCTCACACAGTCTTGTTGCAAAGTTTCCCCACGTGAGACGCATTGAGAAGTACACGAAGCACCGGCGCCTGCCCGCCCACGCGCGTGCGTTCCCAAACAGATGTGGGACGTTGACTTCATGGCCCCGTCGGCACGTAAGCGCAATAAACAGCAAGCGACACGCGAGGTTCATTAACGAGTGACACGTAACCGTGGCGGTGGGCCGTGTTCCGAAGACTGCTGCGTCCAGTTCAGGGACGCCGTGCGCGTCCACACGCGGCACAGGACAGACTTGTCAGGACAGTGCAGCTCGCCAGGCCACGGGCAGAGCGATCAGCCTGGACGGAGCGCGGCACACACAGGTCCGAGAGCGCTGGGAACACAAAGCGCGTCGGTATCTATTTTAAGCTGGGCAGAACGGTTAGATAGGCTTGGAGTGACACGGTATTTCAATCCAGAGACAGGTCGTTTGCGCCCAGACGCTGAGCGGCTCTGTGCGCCAGGTTCGTGCCGACAGGCAGAGCGGTGGAAGTCCAGCCCTGGCTGGAGGGTAAGGGGCACCAGCACCGTCTCCCTTACACGCCGTCAGCACTGCGCCAGAGAGCACGCGGCCTCTGCGGGCCTCTTCTGCATGCCAGGCAGGGTAAGCTGTCTGTCCTGTCCGGCTCAGAAACACTCATGGGAAGGCCACAGGAGTCCAAGCCCTTTTCCGGAAGAGGCTTTGGAGACACTGGCGTAGACCCTAAGAGAAGGGGTGGCGTGGTCTGCAGGCTGATCACGGTCTAAGGCTTTTGGAAGGTTAGCGAGCTGGGTGTTTCTCCTACGACTACCATGGAGCCCTGCCACGCTTCGCCCACCGCAGGCTCCTCGGCTGTCTGTCCCGGGTGCGAGGCGCACAGCGGTGAACGTGGCATATGTTCGGGCGAGGGCAAAGCTGTGCCCACGGCTGGCTGGCTGAGTGTGCGCCTGTGCTGTAGCGCGTGGCCACGGCCACGCCTCCGCAACCACGACACAGCCTCCACAAAGAGGAGCTGCTTCCTGACAGAGAACGACCAGAGAGCCCCGTAGGACGGCGAGCTACGGAGAGCCAAGGGCGCCACGTGGGAGAGGGCAGGGCGGAAGCCACAGGCAGTGGGCATCGGCTCCCCCTTTGATGTACAGGGCGCCGTGTGGAGGGGGGCGGGGGGAAAGCCACAGGCAGTGGGCATCGGCTCGTCTTGACATTCTGGATGGGCACCCTGTCCTCCGTCACAGAAAGACCAACCACCACACAGCCAAGGCCAGGGCCACGAGAAACGACATCAGGAAAGGAAGGCGCGGCGGGAGAGCGCGGGAGGACAGGCGGCACCTCCTGAGGGGCTTGTGGTCCTCGGGGATGGGGACAGACACCTTGGCAAGAGAGTCTTCGCTGTCCTGACGGGGCAAGGCCCTCTCGGGAGGTCTCTGTGGCCTTGGAGTTTTCTCTTCACCCTGTACTAACAGAGCATGCTCCTGGGTCTGCTTTCACAGTAGGAGATCAAGAGAGACAGAGAGATGAACATAATGACGGATGGTGGGCCCTCCGGGACGCTTGGGGGTGTGCAAAGGACCCGGGGGGCTCTTGGACACTTCCTTCTAGGCGTGGGTCTAAGCCTGGCCAACGTGCTTGAGCACAGAAGGGGCTCGGCAGGTCAGATTGTGAGTAAACGGACATTGAGACTCCTGACAAGTCAAGACATCACTGACCTTCCCCAGTTACATGGTCTACCCCCATGGGGTATGCACACATGACTCGGGCTCCAGCACCCCTCAGTGCTGCCAACCACAAGCTGACCCGGCAGTGCCCACAAGGCAGCGTGCTCGCCATCAGAGCAGCCGCGTGGTTACAGGAGGGCAGAGTCCCGCAGCGGCCTGCCCTCTCCCTGCAGACTTTAGGAGTTGTAATAGCTCATTTACTATGCTAACTAGCTCTTGCTCAAGGGAATAAAAATCTTCACCTCACACGTCTCAAAGATTACAAAGCCAAAGTACCGAGGTTTATAATGTCCCTCAAAGGTCTACCCCCCAAAAAGGGAAAAAAAAATAGATCTTAACACCTGCACCGCCTCCCCAGAACCATGATGAACAAGACTAGCCACCATCATGGAGGTTTACACATTACGCCACACAGACACTTGGCACTCCAAGAACATCCCCCCAACTGTCCGGCTGAGAAGTCTCCCCGCCTGCAGTTTCTGAACTGCCATCCAGGCGAGACAGACGTGGCCTACGAAAGGAAGAAGTCGGCTCTGAGCTCCCTGAGCCGCGCTAGCCTCCGCTCGGCAGGCCGGAAGTGTGGGCCTGGCTCTTTGCACACCCCCAAGTGACGTGTATCAGGGAGAACGTAGCAAGGGGGCTGATCAGCAAAAAGAAAAGGGAAAAGAAAGGATGCAAAATTATAATGGATTTTAAGAGAAGGTAAAGGGGAGAAGAAAGACAACATAAAAGAATGTGTATAATTAAACTCGGTCTCCGAGCGCACGTTCACACCTGCATGCAGCTTCCCACCGGCCATGCGCCGAGACAAGCAAGCAGAGAGCTGCCAAAGCTGCAGCCGTGGAGACGGGCGTGGCAGGCCCAAGCTGTGAGTGAGGCTCCGCTCGACGGCCAGAGCAAAACGGGTCCCACCGCTTGGTGCTGGGCCAAGCGCAGAGCTGCCCGAGGAGCGCGGCGAGACGCGGCGTTACCTCTGGCCTGCCGGCCTTTCTTTCCGAGGGAAGGACAGAGGTGTTCTTCACCTGGTCACACACAAATTACACAACGTTCAGGTGCCCTGCTGTGCAACAACGCTGCCGAAGGTGGAGGAGGTACCCCGAGAACGAACAGAAGGTCCCAAATATTAATAAAAAAGTGAGAGATGCCAGGAAGTGGCCCTGCCACGGTGCGGTTACTGTCTGTCCCGCGACTCTCGGAGGTGCAATGCACTTAAGCACAGAGCCAGATCGTCCCCGGTGGACCTAGCTTATTTATCGAGGGTCATTTCCGTAAAGCCCCCACGACATCGCCCTCCCAAACCAGCCTTTAGAGGACTTCCGGAGGGCCTCTGTGACTTCCTAGAGATGGAGGCTGACTGGTACTGCCGCGCCCTCCCCAGAGCAGCGGGGCCTGGCAGTGCTTGGCAGAGTCAGAACAAAACTCTGAGAAAACCTGATGTGCAAATTGGGTTAACCAGGCGGTGGCAGCAGGCTCTGCCTCACGGAGTCCTCGGCGCATGCCAGGCAGCGTCAGCGAGGCCCTCCCGGTCACCTGCTGTACACTGCAGTCCTCTGGCCTGCTCTGGGCAGCCCACGGCCTCCACTCAATGCTCCGACTTCATTAGGGGTCTGAGAGCAGTGCCCTCCGCAGGGTCGCGCCCTCCGTCGAGTCCGGCTCCAGGGGCGGACGTCCCCTCAGTCCCAGGAGCCCAGCCAGGGCCCGTCCCCGGGGGGCTGCGGCCTGACTGTACAAGTGGCTCTGAGGTCACACCTCGAAGAACAAAAAGGACCGTTTGTGGACCAACTTTAACCGCCTTCTCTAGTTCCAGAACCTAATAATAGTCTGTGTGGTTCACTCTGAATTTTGAATATAAAACCCAGGTTTTCAAATATTCAGACATCGCTTTACCATTCCTAACTAGAATTGCTGTGTCCTGAGGGGAGGGAAGCACATAACTTAAAAATCGTTACACTTGTTCATGGAGTCATGGCAACTATTGATACCGCTGCTTAATTTATATAAACTGGGCAAAAAGCCTTTTTGGTTAAATACTCAAGATAGTTTTCAAGATATTTTCATTTAACAGCGTTTATTCACGTGTGGGATTTCTAAAATAAGCGGTGATAACAAACATAGAAACAAACACCCCGACAGTCTCCGGCCTGCCCACAAAGCAGTAGCCGAGTCTGCCTGGGGCCAGCAGGGGCACGGCAGTTAGGGCGCTAGGTCCCACCTGACCAAGTGCGACGCGGTGGCTTGAAAATCACACTGACCGCGTTTGCGTGCGTGCCCAAAATCACGAGAGGAGAATGGAGAAGGGACTGACGCGTGGCCGTCCCCCGGGGGCACTTCCCCACGTTTCCTTTCTCTGTGTTTTTTTCCTACAAGCACACACCCCACCTAGCAATCTTAAATGCATAAATAAAAGCTTGATGTTGAGGGCCAGCAGGTGGCCTGGTGGTTAAGGCGCTGGACTCTCATATGGCCAACCATGGTTCGAGTCCTGGACCTGGTGGCTTTCTCAACTGACACCCCCAGCCCCGCTCTCTCGTGAGTGCACGTACCCTATAGCAAATTAAAAAGTAATAATAATAATAATAGAGCGAGACAATAAAGAAGTTCTCTTTTTTAAAAAAGCTTGATGTTATTCATAAAAATAAAATAAATTCCCAGCGGTTTTTCTGAAGTGGAAACGCAATCGTAGTCGCTGGCTGCCCTGCACTGCGGCGTGGGCCCAGGCTATGGAGTAACAGGCAAGCACGGCACGTGTCCACATGAAGTTGGAAAAGTGCCCATTCCTTTCCAATCGGACCGCGCTAAATTTAGTCAGCTTTCTGGGTCTGAATATAAACAGAGGCCTGCTGGCTGTGGCCGAGGCCGCCCTCAGAGTGGGAGCGCCCCCCCCCGGGAGCTCTGGGGACTCCCGTGATCGGGCTGAGCTGCTCACATGCTGCCAGACGCATGTGCTGAGCCTCAGAGCTCCCACGAACTGCAGAGGCACCAAAGCAAAACGGCAGCTCTCGGCCCCCGACACGCAACGGTAAACGGAAGGGCACTTCCCCACTGTTACCACGCGCAGCCACGCGCCCGAGTACTCACCCCTTCCCCAGTGGGGACCTGCCCGTTGGCGCTGAGGGTCCGGAAGGGGGAGTGAGTGGACAGGCGCTTGTCCCACTCGCTGGGCCGAGGCTCTGGCACCGACTCCATGAAGTTCTTCTTCAGTTCGCTGATGCTGGCATGGTGCTTCTTGATCTCTTCCTGACTCTTGTCTAAATCCTGGGTGGAAAGGGCAAAGATGCGGGACAGTGAGCGCCCAGGGCGGGCACGCCGCACCTGCAGGGGGCACAGCCGTGAGCTGCATTCCAGTGGAGACAGCTCGGTGCGTCTCCTCTCTAAAAACGAGGCGCTCTCCTCGGGAGCAGGGAAGCACTGCAGCCCGCAGCTCTCTCAGGCTCCCACCAGGAGGGCCCGCCCTTCCTTGGACTGCAGCCCCACTCAGGCCCAGCTCAGCAGGATGAGACAGCACTGGACAGCCAGGCTCGGGGCATGGTGGGACTCAGCTCCCCCCGTGCTGTCTGGCCTCGGTGAGCTGTAAGCATTTGGTATTCCTTGATTTCTACCAAGACCATTTTGCTCTGCCCTTGCTAGGTGTTTGTTTTGCCTCTTTCATTTTTTATGACAGACAGGGTCTCACCAAGTGTCCCAAGCTGGCCTTGAACTCACGATCCTCTGGCCTCAGCCTCCCAAGTAGCTGGGATTACAGGCACACACCACTGGAGCTGTTTTTGCTTTTTGATAAACAGAAATGGCCCTCTACCAACGGCCCATTACTGAAACTCCTCAGCCAACTTTAAAGCCTATGGAGGAGGGATGCTTGAAAAAACCCAGGAAGCTGCGGGAGTGGCAGGTACACAGCGTCCTCAGGGGAACGAAGCTACTCCGAAAGCACACGCGGCCGGGCCTTCTGCGGCTACACCGCCCACCTGAACCAAAGGTGGCGCTTTCTAGCCCTGGCAGTCTCACTTCCCTCGCCCTTGGCATTCCGCAAACTAGGCACTTCCAAGTTAGAAGTGTGTTAACAAGGGTGCACCAAATACCTACTGACCTCCTGGCAGCTGGAAAGGTCTCAGCTCCCCCAGCATGGGGCTCGACAGTGGCCTAGCTCTTGAAGGGCAGACTCCAGGGAGAAGGGCTCAAAACTCGGGTTAATCAAGCAGGAGGCAGAGACAGCATTCATCTCTGTGTAACAGGAGGTGTACCACAGCTTCCAAAAAGGGGCCTTGGCCAAAAGTGGTCGGGCAAGCACAACTGAAGACGGACTCCAGTGTTGTTTGTCCAACCTGCTTCCAGACACTCAAGAGCCCTGTGCCTGAGGTCGGGCCGGGCCGGCGGAAGCCAGGGCACTGCGTGTGGGAGCTCGCTGCACCCAAGAAAACGCAGCACCAAGCAGCTCCCCGACACACGGCGTGCGTTTTGCCGTTAGTCTTTCTTTTCTGAATGTGGGGAAGCTGCCTCATTTTGCGGGGAAATAGTTGGAATTCGTTTAAATCGAAACTTGTTGAAAAGTTTTTCCTGTAGTCAATACAGGCTCAATGAAATGAAGCTTTTCCAAAGGCACCACTGAAAGGAAAATAGCAGAGAAAAGGCATCTACTCCTCTACCCGCTGTACTGCTCCAAGGCTCACCCATGTGCAGCCGCTTTGTAATCAGCCATAAAGAAAGTGAGCCCGAGACAGGCAGCACCCCCAGGAGTGTTTCCTGCTGGCTGGCTGGGCCGGCCTGGGTGTGGGGCATGAAAATGGGCTTCGCCACGGGGAAGCAGCGGTTTGCGCTTCTGTTCCGCAGGAAAGCAAGGACAGCGTGACCCCTGGCCATGGGGAGACAGCCGGGCCTACTCAGACCAGGTAGCCAGGCGCAGGGGCCCAGCGTGCTCCAGGAAGCCACCTGGCTGTTCCATCTGTCTGGGCTGAGAACAGCTTAACACGGCACTCCCTGGGGACGAGTGAATGCAGCGAGCCAGGAGGGGCCGAGCAGCACCATGGCTTTAAAGCCTGGCGGCCTGCCAGCGGCGGCGCTCTGTCCTCTGGGTACGCTGCTCCTGCCTGGCTGCGGCCTGGCTGGGCACCTGCTCAAACAGCTCCCACGAGACCAGGAGCTCCTGAGGGGCTTTCTCCTCCTCTGCTGGCTCTGGGAGAGCCTGTGGGGCACAGTCAAACAGAGACCTCGGAGGGACCTGTTCCAAATAGAGTCTGTCACAGACGTTTGCGACAGGCCCCCTCTGGGAGATGGAGGGGGCGGCAGATCTAAAAATGAACTCGACCTTATTTGGGCCAGAACAAAGCTTTAGTGGGGGCGAGGGAGGGGGAGGAGAGATGCTTGAAAAAACCCAAGAAGCTGCTGGAGTGACAGGTACAGAGCGTCCTCAAGGCAAAGAGAAAAACCTTCATAACCACGAAGGAGGGGTGGTCCGACCACGCGGGCTGTGCCCAGGTGAGACGCTTTTTGAGGCCAAGCCTCTGATGATTTCAGTAACAATCAAGCCAAACAGTGGAGAAAACGTGCTTTCAGAAGGCGGTTAGTTTAAGGCCACACACACTCGGGGGTCAGTGAGGGGCGGGGACACACCACACGGGACACACAGCGGATATATGATTGGCAGGCTGCAGGGGGCACGCCAAGATGGCCTGGGGCTGGGCTCCGCTGCTGGACATGGGAGGCCCGGCCGCCTCCGAAGGGGCACTGTCCAGGTCTGGTCCAGGCGTGGCTGAAGTGCCAAGTCTGAAGGAGCCGAAGGTCCCCCCCGGCACCCCCCGGGCTCGCGGGGAGCTCGTTCCCTGAGCCGCAGGCAGGGCAGGCTTCGTGGAGGCTGGCCGGGGCTCTCTGCTTTCATCCAAGCACCTGACACGTAGTAGGCCCTCGGAGGGGTACTGGCGAGGGTGAGCAACTGGAGGAGGCCAGGCGGAGGGACTTCAAAAAGTTTGTGGAACATTGCAATTAAAGTATGAGTTGCTTCAAAATACATTAAGATCCATGCATAGTTTTTTCATAATATACATTTCTAAAAGCTTTTTAAAGACCCCTGTGTTAAGCCAGAAATCTGCTCTTTTTTAACCCCCAGCTTAATACTACTGGCTACAGTGCTGTACGTCCGTCTTCGGAGTCTCGGCCTTACTCAGGAAGACCCACCCTGTCCTGTGTGACCACCTGGAGTCACTTGGTGCTGCCTCCTCTCTGCGGTGCTCACTCTCACCTCCAGGTCCCACACCGCACGCTCCCACATGGGAACGGCGTCCATACCCGTCCTGCACGCGTGCATGTCCTCCGCAGCTGGCGCGGACCTCGGGAGTCGGAGAGTACGCCCGTTTCTTTTGGCTCTGTCCTGAACGGAGCCTGAAGGTAATCTGTTCAACAACATCTACTTAAGAGTTTTCTGGGGGATAGGAGGCGGCGTGGTGGTTAAGGTGCTGGACTCCACATGGCTGACTTCGGTTTGCGTCCTGGACCTGGCGGCTTGCTTCCTCACTTTCTGTCTCTCTCTCTGGTCAAATTAAAAATTAATTAATTAATTAAATTTAATAATCTTTTTTAAAAGGTTTTTCTGATGGGTCTGACCCATGGTCTAGTAGTTAGGGGAGCAAGATCCCACATGGCCAGCTAAGTGGTTCGAACCCTGGCCCTGGTGGCTTGGAAAGCACTGGGGGCATGTGTACCCCAGCCCTGACGGGATGGAGCGACAGAAGGGAGGGGCTGCACTCCGGGGGCTTTCTCAGCCTCCCTCTCCACAGCGCGCTCTCCCTGGTGAGCACACGTGCCCTCTGGAGACTATGCACGGACACCTTTGTAAAGTTTGTCTGACGGGGGGACACCCTGCTCCATCTCCTCCACAGAGAACAACCTGTTTCCTTGCCTACTCCTCAGAGAGGTCCCTCCTCTTCTAATCAGTTCCATAATTCCCTGTCCCACATAGAGTCCTAAACTAGAGCCGGTGTTCCCACGCATGTCCGACGAAACCTGCCAGCACAGACTGCGGTGGGGACATACCTGGTGACCGCCCAACGCAGACTGCGGTGGGGACTACCTGGTGACGGCCCAGCGCAGACTGCGGTGGGGACATACCTGGTGACCGCCCAGCGCTGACTGCGGTGGGGACTACCTGGTGACCGCCCAGCGCTGACTGCGGTGGGGACTACCTGGTGACCACTACTCCGTGTGGGGTGTCACTCCTGAATGGGAACCAGTGCTGTTTAACGGTCAGAGCCTAACTGGAATCCTGGCTCTCCCAGATGGCCAGCTCTGGAGCCACGGAGAAGCCTAAATTACCTAAGCGCCAATGTCCTCGTCTTTGAGGTAGCAGCCCCCCCTGGCGGCCGTCTACACCACACTCGCCTTCACCGAGTGCGGCCTCCTCCCCCGACTGCCCTCCTGTCCTTCCTGCATCCCCAACGTGGGTGTCCACCCTGAGTTGTGGTCACGTTTCCTGCTTTTCTATTTCCTGCATCCTTCAGTTCAGAAAGTGAAAACGGGACACATTTGTTTCTAGGACAGTGGGAGTTTGCGGTCTTAGAAAATTCAAGGAGCTTCTAGTAAGGAGGCGGGACTTTCGAAGTGGGTAGAACCACGAGGCTACGAGGGGCAGACGCAGAGCCAATCATATATCTCTCAGGTGTGACAGACGGGAGCCGGACGGTCCGAGGAGGATGACTGCTTATCTCTGTGACCACCGACATGCAGTAGCACGGAGACCCGCGACCCCCATGCAACGGCGTGCAAACCAGGCGCAGCACAGGAGGGCGGGCTGGGCAAAGCGTGCAGAAGGGTCCGGCTGCCGGCCGAGATGAGCCCCGAGTTCATACAAACCTCCAACATTAAATTGCTATGTCTGATATAAATGTTTTCACCATCTAGTCTCTCTCTCTTTTTCTGTGAAAATGAAAGGGGGAAAAACAGAAAAGCATAAAAAATTAAAATGTTGTTCTTGCGGGAAAAGACGGCAAACTGGCAAACCGAAAATACTGAAAATGCAATGGCCGCAGCACAGCACACGCCACCATGAAATGGTCACAGAGCCACAAGGACACATGGAGCACACGATCCCGCCAGCAAATGGAGACGTCGCCCGTGAGCGGTGAAGGGACGCAGTGACAGATCTGAGCAGACAGTGCCCGCGGCCCATCGGCCTCTTATGTAACAAGCTGTCATGTGCTCACTTTGCCGTGAGCTGCGTGAGTGTCGCCCTCCAATGCCCGGCTTTAGAGAGCTTCGGACTCCTCCGAGCAGGAGGTGGGGACATGCTTTACAACGCTGCGAGCGTGCCGGACGCTTTCTCCCTCGGTGACACCATGCTGGCAGACTGCCGATGTCCTTGTCAGAGGGCTCCACGGGCGCTTTACACGTGACGGGCCCATCAACGGGCTCTGCCAGACCGACTCGCCCTCGGGGTGTAAAGAACGAAGCAGGCCAGTGTGGCCACCGATACCGGCCGCACTCGCCACCGCTGAGGGCG